ATTTTGACTGGTTTTGGGCAAATGTACAAATAATAATGCATAAATTATTTTTTTTCCCTAGCGTAGTAAATTTTTTTTATTGTTAACATTTACTAATAACTTGTTATATGACTGTAAATAATATAAAAAATATTAAAAATTAATTTTAGACAAATTTCTTTACACATTATTCTTTCAAAATGCAGTCATTTTTACTGCTTTGGGCAATATAGGTATATACTAAGTTTCAGTCTTTCTAGTGTTAAATATTCTGGGTTCAGCGATAACGTAGAAATATTTCGGAAATCCTGACACGGTCTGTCGTAACGAGACTTGGACAGCCCTAGAGGGAAGTGACAAAAAAATAGAGCGTGCACCGAGCGGGAGGATCGAACGGTGTTCTTTCAAGTTTCACCGACGAGTCGAGTCGAGGTATCGAAGGAGCCTCGCGTGAATCGCTCTCGTAGAAGCGAGGTCAAGGGGATTTACAAGTTCGATTAACAGGATGCGAGAAGAGAGAGAAAGAGAGAGAGAGAGAGAGAGAGAGAGTCAGAGATTACATTGAAAGGAGGACGAATCGATGATGCAAAATGGAGATGTACAGAGACGGGAAGGAGACCGGATGGACACTTACGGCGCTGACTTTTCGCACTTTGGTGGTGGTCGTGTGATTATTGATGTGTTTCACCCTTTGCTCGCTGACGGATTCTATCGAACGTATGCTCATCCTTTCCCGGTTGTTGTCGTCGTTGCCCCGCTCCTGGTTGATGAACAGCTCGTAACTGTGGCACGAGAAATCGGATGGCGATTTGACGATCTGGTCGGCGGCAGCCACTGCAGCAGCGGCCGCGGCCTCCCTCGCAGCTGCCTGCGCTGCCAATTTGTTCTCCTTCGCCAGAGCCGCCTCCTCGGCTTCCTGTTTCGACAGATTTACGGGTCGGCAAGGAGAAACGACGTCTCCATCGTCGCAGGTGGACAAAATTGACTTTCCAATCGTTCCATAATCACCGAGTATCGAAACCCGCGTACTTCAAGAATTTTAACCCTTTGCACTCGAGGCCTTTTGCGCTCGGGCGAACCAGCAATTCAAAACGATTTCGGTTTCGATTTTCTTTTGGGTATAAAATGATTTGCAGTACCCCTAAAGTTCTTCTCTAATATAGAGAAGAAAATCTCTAATATAGAGAAGAACTTTAGGGGTACTTCAAATCATTTTATACCCAAAAGAAAAAAT